TATTTACATGACATCCTACTGAGTTAAGCTACAACTGACTAAACATTGTGTTGCTTCTTTTGAGTGTAGCCTGAAGCTACAGCCTGCAAATGTGTTTAGCTAATGGTTAGCCTGTGTAGTTAGTCCCATGGCAAATAAGCCTAAAAGCTGCAAGCTTCCAATTTTATGTTGATTTGTTGTTGAAACTATGCATATAAACCTTAAGGTAGCCCCAGTCAGGCCGTATATGTTTGTAACCAGAGCTAATAATGTGGTAATTTTAAGTAAGATTACATTATATTAGGCTGCATGATTTTCATTCAGTAAAGCTTAAAGCCTTGTTTATGTTAATGTTTGATGTGTTCATGGGTTGTGCCTTTGCATTTACCATATACTGGTTAATGTTTAATGACAGACGAATGATGGTTGGTTATTGATCAAAAGAGTTTGCCAAGGGCTCCTGAGTGGCGCAGCCAACTAAGCGTTGGCCGTATCATCAGGAGGTCACGAGTTCAATCCTTGGTGATGCTACAGCCATCAGTGGCCGGGAGTCCAAGAGAGCACAATAGGCCTCCCTCTCTGGGTGGGTAGGATGGCTGCTATGTCAACCCCACACTTCACTCAAAACCGCGACACGAGTCAGCGCAGGCGTCTGTTAGCTGACGTAACGTGGCGCCGAGGACGTTCGGCTGTCCAATGATGTTGCGTGAGCGGCAGCTCGAAAAGATGCGGTATCGCTTCACAGGTCTCGGAGAAAGCCTGTGTTAGCTTTCGCCCTCCTAGTGCTGGTGGTATCCTGTGATTGGGGGAGTCCTAACTAGGGGCGGAATTGAATACAACTAAATTGGGGAGAAATATTCAAAATTCACCTATGGATATACTTTGTTTGAGATCCAAAAGAACATATAAGCATATATGTCATTTCCATTTCACTGCTAATCTACTGTAGACGTGGATTCTCACTTATTGCTGTCAGTGTATTATGCACTATCAATTTCAGAGGAAACTGTTTGAAACAGGCAGTGAAGGTCTGCATCAGTGGAGGAGAAGACTTTGGCTATATTTGTGTTGTAGACATGGTGACCCCTGGTTCCTATCACCACCACTGTAAAGAAATCTGAGTCAGTACCTTTCTCTACAATGAACCATTTCCCATTTCAAACCACTCTGAATGGCTGTTTCTATCTGAATGACTGAATTGTGGTAAAATTTTGAACAGTCAGTGGAAATATCCATTAAACACATGACTAAGAAGTGACCAAAAAGTTGCTTTCATTTTAGGACCATGGTTAAAACGAGGCTGTTTGCTCTGCTTTCCTGTTCAAACAGAGCCAGCAACCTGATCAGGGTTACAATTACAGTGTTTATAAGTAATAAGCGACAGTAAGAATAAGAAGAAGCTGATTAAAGTATGACATACCATGAGCTTTTCTTATTTTTATAGTCAAATATTCAGGATATTATTCCAGCTCTATTAACAATGAACAGTTTCAATGGAAATAGCCTGAAACCCAGACTAAATTGTGTGGTCTGGTTTCTTTTGCATACAATAAATCACCCATCCCCCTTTTCATGACAGCTGTACTGACCTAGCTTAGCCTAGCTAACAGTGTGTATACCCCTATGTGTGTTGTGGAGCCACATTGTGGCTTTGTGCTGTGGGTGAGGCGAAGGCAGAAGCTGAACGACAGGAGGGGAAGAACATTTGCCCTCAGAGATTTTCTCACACACACACACAGGCTGGTTTGGATACAGGCAAATGGCCATCTCATGATGCCCCAGTCAGACAGCAGGGCTGTGTGGGTGGTGTTGTAGGAGAATGAAGCATTGTTTGAGCGGAAAACTCCTTAGAGTGGAGAGGGGAGAGGGAGACTGATGAGGCTTGCTAGCTGACCCTTTATGTCCCGCACATTTCCAGGAAACTGTTTTCCAGTCAGTGTGATCTCTCCAAGTGTTCCTATGGGGCAAGCTGATGGAAGTTCACTAGGGCTGGACCAACGTCACTGATGCTGATTTTAAGGAGCTAAAAAGTTCAGCCAATAAGTTTTAGGGCCCGACTGATTGGTAGAGTTTGTCACTGATGCTGATTTGGGGCTAAAAATTCTGATAACTGATTAAATTAGCTGGTAAAATTTTATATGGTCCAAAGTTGAACACTTATAGTTAGTCAGTGCTTTACTGACTGAGATGATTGTCAGTTTTCGGTTGCGGATTGTCTAAAATTCACAGTTCTGCGTTTTAAATACTAAACATAATAATATTATAGCATGGTTCTAACAATGATGGTCATTTATGTTTACCGGTCCAGCTTGTAATAAAGCTTTTAGCTTCATAAAAGCTGAAATGAAGTATTGGTGGGCCTTCGGCAGGATGTCTGCCAGTAAATCTGTGCAACCTTAACATCAGAGCTAAGTTACATTTGTTGGCTAATCCTCAGTTTTAGCATGTTATCCAGCTTTGCTGTAAAATCCTGAAACGCCGCCGATCGCCAGTTTTGATTTGTATCAGTGAAACTGGTGACTTGAATCTGTTTAAGGCTCATAATTGACCTTTTTAAACTCGCTTTAGGGCTTCGTTTATAGTAGCAAAGTCTCCTTCAGCAGTGGGTCATGCTCATTCTGCCGCCCTGCCTCTCTTTGGGGTGTTGCCTTTGTAGATAGCAACATGAGCAGCTGGGAAATACCTTCCATGGCACCCTGGGATAGATGGATAAATTAAGCACTCTTATCTGTCTGGGAGAGCAACAGAAGGAGGGCCGTTGACCCTTTTTTTTTGAGTCCATTACGCTGGTCCAGGATCAGTTTGAGAGGGGAATGTTTTGCAAGGAACACTAGTTCAGTTTGACACGCAGTGAATGAACAATGAGATCCAACTGGAACACCCAACAAGAATATCAGACTTTTATGTCCCAAGTTTCAATTGAGAGACTGAAGAATGTAGACATTTATCAACAGGCTACTGTTATTCAATATTATCATATTAAAGTTACAATTATAACCTTATAATAATATTAAAAAGTGAGTTGCTGATCAGTATAACATCACAATGCTCATTTGTACTATTCAATATATTAGTTTCCTTTTTGTCCCTTGGCTTCTCAGGCATGTGCGCAGAAGTAGAAGTACTTAACAGGAACCGCGCTGTGGTAATCAACCTCATTGTCATGTGGTGAGGCCGTTAATGTTGTCTACACAGAGCTGTGGGTTTGGCCTCTGCTGCGTTTCTGCATCCTCTGACTCATCAGGCAGCTTTGGGAACAGCCCAGTTCACACAGAATTGACCAGTTCATGCATCATGATGCTTCCTTTCATAGCGTCTTTATTTAGGCTTTACACAACTCAACCTAATAAGAAACTCTAGGGCAGAAACTCAGTTTGTGTCGAGTGCATGTGATGGATCACACTGTTAGGAGAGATGAGGTGTAGTTTTGTGCTCTGTGAGTTTTTAGGGATCTTACAGGCTAAGCTGGAAGTTCTCCAGCTGTTTTAATGCTGCTAGCTGGCGAAATCGTGGTCTGTCACTTCCCATTGTAGTCACTGAGCAGCTTTGCTTAGCTTGGTTTGTTGTAGCTTGAGGGCCTTTCTGTTTTTGCTGTAATGTCGGTATATATGGTAAATTGCCGATATTATACAAATTATTGTTTTTTCATTCTCTTTCAAGATTTGTTTTAACAAATTGCCATTCACTTTGTAAAATAATTCTAATCTATAGTTGTAGTCAAATGTGTAGTCAAAAATATGAAGTCAAAAATACATACAGTAGGAAAGATTGCACTTGCTTATAGGCTTTACCAACAGAACTACTTTGAACTCAAGTGGGAAGGTTGGAACATGAAAAAATGCTGGGGTATGTGCAAATGAAACAAAGAATCCCCGGTACAGGAGATCAGTGGACGGGGTGTCCAGAAGAAGACCATTTTGGCAAATATTGGCAATATTGGCAATGTTTCCAACCAACCAAACGTGGGGAACCACTGGACGTTAACTATGTTCTTCACAGATGGCATGTAACACTGTTATCATAATAATGATTATTAATAATTATTAATTCATTTTAGAAGCTAGCCCAGAGGGTAATTATATTGCCATCAGGGAAATCAGAGGTGGGCGATATGGCAATAATGTATTATCACAATACTTCAGGACGTTTTCACGATACACGATATGTCATGATATTTATTTTGTCAGACATCTGATCAGCTGGAACAGAGACAAAAGAACCAGTAGTGCTACATTTAGATCAAAAATTGACCACAGTGATTTTTATTCAATATTTGGCACAATGTGTTGCACTAAATCCAGTTAAATGGGACTAATTTTGCTTTCTTTTTAATGAAACAAGTACTGATATCCACCATATGTTCAAAAGGTATGTTGTGTTGTGACATAATTTATCATGATAATAATAGATACTGTCATATTGTTCATATTGTTTAATGCAGTGATTCTGCAGACAGTGGCTTGAGTAAGTTGCCATGGTCATCCATCTTTTACCATATCTACCCTAACAGTGTGATATTTTATACAGATGGGAAATAAAAGCAATTTGGAATTAATAAAGCATTATAAACGTACGTAATTTGCCCAGAATATCTGAGATTATTGTTATGAAGGTCTGTGAAGGTCACAGTTGCTACAGAAGAACACTTTCATGGGCGGAGCACGTATAGGTCAGTTGGTGCTGAGGAACAGATGCCCCATTAAAGTCAAAAAACCTATGTAATGGAAAAGGCTCATTTACTGTGGAATTTAGTCCCAGACAAGAATTTATCTGCGCAGAGCTCAGACCCTTTAGTGCCTCCTCTTGGGTTTGGGTGTGACTGAGAAGACTTTTTTGTGGGAAGCCAGGAAAGTCTGGTAGTACTTTGAGGGCAGCAGAAATGCAAGAAATCTAGACATAATATACTCTTTTGTACTTTATATCAGAATGATAATTGGATATATAATATCTCTTATAGCCTACATCCTTTCTAATAATGTTTTATTAGTAACGTTTCTCTTTTTCTTTCCCTTTACTCACAGACCACAAGTCTGGCAGCAGTTCCTTGGACACTCTTCTCGCACTGCTACAAGCAGAAGGGGCCAAAATCGAGGAGGAAACGGAGGTAACCGCATTTATACTGCATTCACCACAAGAGCCTGGCAGCGTTTCAGAGGCACATGCTGGGACTCAACTTCCTCATCATTTAACAGTTAAACACATGACAGACTTTAGACTGTTTAACCGTTTTAGCTGTTAATTACTACGTTTCTGACAGCTGGGTGGTTCAGTAGCTGGTTGCATCACATATGACCACCAAGCGTAAGCATCTAAAGCATGTGATGGGCTGCATTTGGGTAAACTGTGTATGTGATGTTGAGTCATACATGAAATGATGCTTGTCATTTTCACCCACAGTCTGTATCTGTTAGATTTTTCTATTTTCGCTAATCATTTGATGCACAATCACAGGACAAGGGCTCTGTCCTAGGAAAATATATGTAGTTGAATGAGTGAACCTGCCTGGCAAGCTTGTTTGAATTTCCATGCTTGTTTACATTTACATAAAATCAAAATCCTCATTATTAAAAGGAAATTTCACAGATTTTTCCCAATAATAGCACATAATTCTGTCATTAAGATGTAAACAAAGTCATTTAGAGTGGTTTGACTCTTCAATGTTGAGAACCTTATCAACTTAGATGCCTTTAAAGTGGTAGTGATGGGATCCCTCTGTGACAGTGAGCCATTTTATGTGCTATGCAGAATGACCAGTGAGCCTACACGGCTTTTGGGCTTTTATATTGTAATTTTGATGATGTTAAAATAATGGTAAATCCAAAAAGTATGTTTTCTTTGGCTTCTATTTTGCCTTACAATGCTCCGTATCTATGTATTTATCTGTCCTATTTTATTTTAAAACTATTAGATCAGGTCAAGACTAAAACCTCCTCAAAACTGTCAAACAGTGAGTGCTTTTACATGCAATTAATAATCCGATAACTGCAGAAAATCAGATTTTGTCCATAATCCGATCAACATGTTTACATGCACTTGAGTAATCAGATGATGGGGAAACTCTGGGTCTGCATGAGTCAGACAGTAATCGGATTTCTGCTTTGCAAGCAGCCAATAAACTCACAGAAGAAGACGTGAGATAAACGTAATGTGAAACTCAAACTTCATTCTCCGTCTTTTTTTGTGTAAATTGTGCCGATTTACCTGAAAATATGAATGTACATCATGTACATCCTTTATTTCATGTTTGGTTTCAGTGTCGCTCTAAAAGTGTTTTGCTGCGTCTCCCGGCAACACTGCTTGCTTATTTCTGGTGCTGCTGTCTGTTTTCAAACATGTGCAGACTGAGAAATCCGAAAGAAATCCGAGTAAGAGTTCACATGCACTGAGAATCTGATTACTGAGCTAAAATCCGGCTCTCATTATCGGATTTCTTAATCAGATTTCTAGGGTGGAGTATGGTGTTTGCATGACCATTTGAATGATCGGATAAATGCAGATATCTGATTATGATTGGATTATTGAGTGCATGTAAACTCACTCATTGTCTCAGACATCAGGCAGTGTATTTATAACTATTTCATGTAAAAACGTTCTGTAAGGGAGCTTTTAGAGTCATCAAACTCTTCAGACGTCTGGTTCCTATCACCACCACTGTGAACAGTTTTAACAATTTTGTGAACAGTTTGTGAAACATGTTTTTGTTTACATCTCAATAATTGAATTATCCCCTTAATAGGGATAGTTCACTAAAGCAAAGCTGATCATTGCACTGTACTAACTGAAAATAGCAACTTAGCAAAGCTTAATGTAGCACAACACTTGCTGACGTTAGCTTTCGTTCATGAATGGCCAGCTTTCTGTTAGAAGTTCCTCAGTTTACCCTCATCCCTGTCTTTCTTTCTCAAAACAGAACATGGCTGAATCTTTCCTGGATGGCGACGTGAGTCTCGACACCTTCATCGACGAGTACCAGAGCAAGCGGAAGCTGGCCCACCTGCGGCGAGTGAAGATCGAGAAGCTTCAGGAGATTGTGCTGAAGTCCCCTCAGCTTCTCCAGGCTGTACCCCAGCTGTGCCGTCCTGCGGCGGAACCAACTCCCAAACCCGTCCCGCTCCCGAGAGAGATCAATGGCTCCCCGGCCCCCCTCCCCCAGCCAAGACGGGCCCCTCCGCTGCCACCAATCAAAACCCCCCCAGCAGCACCTGCACCCCAGCCTCCTACTGCGATTTCCTACCCAGGTACTCCATACCCTCCTATCCCACCCAGAGTGGGTCAAACCCCACCAAATCTCAATATCGGATACCCTTCCGTCTGCATGCCCCAGTACACCCCGCCAGTCCCTCAGAGACCAGCACCACGTTTGGCCCCCCAGCCAGGCTTCATCTTGCAGTGATCTACTGGCTCTACTACCCATCTGGAAGGAACAGTATAAGCACTGGACAAACACCTGACCCTTCCTGGAGGTTCTCCAGCCGACACTTAGAAGAATCTTGTGCATGGAAATGCTGGAAATCAAATAAATCCGGGGGTCGTATGGTCATTTCTGCAGTTAAACACAGTAGCATCTGGAGTGGGACCCTTTGTTTTTTTTTTCTCCTAAACTTGCACTTTAGACTTTGTGCTTCTGTCATTGGAGTGAATCTGAGATGGCTGGTTACACTCCAGACTTCCGTACTTCATTTGGTTGTTACGTCAAATATGTCCTCTTTTTAGCCATTTTTTGTGAATAATCCCACCTGAAGCCAGGCTGCAGGTTTTTTTTATAACCGGTAATCCACTCCAATGCTTTAGAAACCCCAGTTTGAATCAGGCAATTGTTGGTACAACCTGATTTGGTGGAGTTTCCACTTCTTCCTTGTACATGTTTGATTGCGCCAATCTCGAAAATATCTGTAAGTCCACCTTTGTATCGTCATACATTTCATCTTTGACAAAGCTGCTTCGTCACTAATGGTGATGATGATGAAGATGAAGCCTATGCAAACAACAGAGACCGAACTGTGTCACAAAAATACCATTTTGCATCCCAGGCTTGTATGCACAGACTTGCAGCCAAAGACATTTTTCAGTCGACTGGATTCAGTTCTAGTCAAAGTGCTTGGGTAGATTAGTTGAAGATGTGGAAGCAGGACGAAGACTTGTAGCTTGATTAGAAATGTGATTATGGTGTCATTGGTATACATCGATTCTAATGAGTCCGGCAAGGTGATGGTGACTTCCAGCTGAAAGCTTTAGTTGATGTTGTTTAAGCTTAATCTAGGAAATCTGGGAAGTCGTTGGCCAATCTTGACCAGCGGTGTCTTCTAGTTCCAGCTTTAATGTTAATAGGAAATTCCACCAATTCTTCCAAGTTTTTGCATCATTAAGATGTAAAGAAAGTCATTCATAGTGGTTTGATGTGAAATGGTTCATTGTAAAAAAAAACAACAAAAAAAAAAACAAAACCAATTGACTTAAGGGTATTGATTTCTTTACAGTGGTGGTGATATGAGCCAGGGGCTGTGTTGTCTACAGTGCGTAAAGCCATTTTGTCCAAGATGACCAGTGAACCTACACATCATCTGAGTTTTTATGTGTTGATGTATTGAAGACGGTACAATAGTGGTAAATCCAAAACTATACGTTTTCTGTGGGGACTCTTTTTGCCTTACAATGCCGTCTTCCATGAATGCGTATGAAAAATGACGTTTTAGGCCAAAATCTTCTCAGAACTATGCTAAAACAGTGTCTCAGCTTTATGTAATAGCTTTCTATGAGGGAGCTTTTAGAGAGATTCGCCACTTTGGACGTCTGGTTCCTATCGCCACCATTGTGGATCATTTTTACTTCTCTAGAGTGATGCATTTCACCCCAAACCACATTGAATTAATGCAGAAACTGTTAAAAAATCCATGGAATTCCCTTTTAAGGGATGGTTTGGTTGGAAATTATCTCGCTAAGCTTAACCAGGCTTTCGATTTAGCCTGCATTTAAGAATATAAGGCCGAGGGAACACGGCACACAGCAGACGAATGCTGTGGATCGACAGAACGAATAGCGGTGCACAAGAGAGCATTCGAATCGATCACTCCTTGATGCGTTTTGTGTTTGCTTGCACTATCTTTTAATATTGTGACTAACACTGAAAAGCGAATGATCTGGTATGTTTGTCATTTACCGTTTAAATATAGGTAGATGCTGAATGTTGCTTTTGGTACAAAGAGGGTTCCCTAGAGTAAGTTAAATATTAATAACATGTAGGAATATTAATATTGTTAAATTTAAAGCTTTCTCTCCAATACAGCCATAATAGCATTGACTTTGTGAAAGGAAAAACGTCACTGATTATATTTTTGTTTGTTTGCTTTTCTTATAAGGACATATTTAATAGACTTACTTCTAATGCCATCTACCACACATATCTGACTCTCCATGTACCAGTTTACTAATAAGTCACTCGTAATGAAGGTGCTGTCTCTCCATGCCTTACTCTGAGTACGGTGCTTCTTAAGCCATCATTTCGAACCACTTCTTGACCCTATTTTGAGTGGAAACCGAGCGAGCGGCTGAAGCTAGAACTGACATTTCAGGTTTTACGTCGGCGCTGTGAACTGTTAGCCGCCTAGTGCCTACAGGTATGATCGCTATGTTCACCATGGCCACGTCACACCTGCTTTTCCTTACCTTTAAAGGAATGCTCCAGCCTGAGGTCTATCAGCCTGTTGGTTTCCATGCACACTTAGCTATGGAGAAGCTGCTTAATTCCACATGCAAAACATAGTTCATGAATACCTCAAATATATTAAAAAATTAGACTGTAAATCTGTATAATTGGTTCTTTCAGAGATGGGAGAGATCCAGAGTATGCAGTGTAGCGACGTGGGCTGAGTTTTCTCAGGCTAAGCCTGACCGCCATGGCCGCCAGAAAGCCTTTGCAAAAGTGAAAGTAACCGGCACTACTTTTTTACTGTGTTGCAGCATTAGAAAGTTGGATTAGGCCTCATAAGAACAGCTTTGGTAAGACATTCTCTCTTGTTTTATGACCCCATAATGCAAACGTTTATTCACGGAATTCAGCAGCTGCCCGTTAGCTTAGATAGATCCAGAAGCAGCAGATAGACATTAGATTTAAATTAAAAAAAGCTGGAATATTCCTTCAGTTATTCAAGATCTATGGCTGTGAGCACTGCTTTTGTCATGAATATGCTATTGATGTGAATATAATCTCATAAGTGACCTTACATACCGTACCTTCAGAAATTAGACTTAAAAAAAGACATAAACCATATAATCATGGCTTGTAGTTGTAAGATATTAACCACATAAACGTTGCTATGTTGAGTTGCTTTACTGTGAATAGGATCAGGTTTCTCCTTCACATCCTAATGTAGATAGAGTTGTGCACAAACCTCGACACCCACATTCATTCAAATGCTTCCACTTAATGCCCCATAAATATAACTGAAGTGCCTCTTAATGTGATAGTTTGGCCAAATATTTGCACAGTTTCCTCCCCTTCAATCCAAATGTAGTGGATCAGCCAAGACATATTTAGGATCTGAAGTTCGCTTCTTTAGTTTTGCAATGGAGCTGCAAGGTTAATGTAGCTAACAAGTAAGGGAAGCCTATGTACGGTAATTTACACTGTGCTGCCTCAAACTGTGTCCAGTTGGACAGACGTTCTAGGGATGTACGGTGATACTGCATTCATGGTAGAAAAAGTCTGAACGGAGTTGACTGGTATTTCAATCCAATATTTGACGCGTTTACTGTCCTCTGGAAGAGAGGGACGTTTAGCCATCGCCCCAGAGGTTGATTTTAAGCATGAAAAAGTAAATATAATGCTTTGTCCGTATCGGCGACAGCGTTGACATGTATATCGGCTGTTGGTATCGGCCCACAGTTTGTGTATCGATACATCCCTAAAGAGTGCATTGCACAGCTAAGAAACTAGTAGCATCCATGGAACCTACATTTTTTTTTAATACATGTTTGATTGATTTGATTGAATGATTTCTCATTTGGCCGATAAAATCTAGCCATGTTAGGGTTGCACAGATTCATAAAGTGGCAATATATGTAAGCCTGTTCTTTATAACTGCTAACAAGTAATGGAAGCTTATACGCCACCAATTAGCATCATGAAAACCGCGAACCTGAATCATCACACTTACCTCAGAAACAACATAAGCAAGTATGTTCGAGGTCACTGAACAAATGAGCACAGTTTGAGACAAATACAGTCATGTGCAGAAGTTTTGGCACCCCTGGTCAAATGCGAATTTGTTGGTTTTCTAAGTGAATATAAGTGAGCACGTCCTCTACAGAGAACTGCTAAGCAGTTCTTGTTAGCCACATTAAACTTGTTGCAAAGTTTGGGCACCAGACTTGTTTGGGCTGATCGACTGCATTCTGAAGAGGAATGCTGGGTAATTTTTTGGACGGATCACCACTTTAAACTCACTACTGGCCCCTTCATGATTCAGTGATGGGAGAAAGTCGAGTGACGAGCATTGATCCTGTGCTGTTCTGCACGGCCTAGTCATTCAGGCTCACTCCAGGCACTTCACAGACTGAACGTACAGCCCACGTCTAGTCTTAATTGCAGTGAAACCCGTGACCCAGCCGAAAGGCCTGCCAGCGTCTCCAGGAGCCAGCGTTTCTTCCCTCGTGACTGTTTGTTTGTGTACATGTTTTTTTGTTTATCTTTCAGAACCCTCCCTGATTGTGGCTGTTCGTCATGCTCCTCATGTACGATGTGCTTTGTATCATTGCAGTTCATGTCTGTGGAAAATAGGTGGAGGTGGTGAAATGGTCTAATTTTAAGCTTAATAAAGGAAATCAAAGGTTTTGAACGAGCCTGGTTGTCATGGTGTTTAAACATGTTCTAAAAATATTCATCATGCTGGCCTTATTAGTGACCTCAAATCAGAAGTGACCGCCCATTTGTGAGGCAGCCTGTAACGTCCAAAGGAATCTGGCTCCCCCTAGTGGGCACAAGTATTTGTTTAATCAATGGCCAACTTCATTTAGAAATATTTTGCTCAGTGTTTCATATATAGTAGTCGTTTCTCTGTGTGCTAATGCTAAACTGTGTTTTTCATATGTGAGATACATTTCAAATATATTGTTTTATTCCAAAATGTTCTTCAAACACTGAAGTACATTAAGCAAAATGTACTTTTTGGCCATTTTCATATATTTTCAGATGTATTTGATAAATACACTTTATATTTCTTTTCAATATGAAAAAAAATGACAATAAATTAAAAGAAGTTCAGTTTATGTAATTACTAAATATTAACAATTGTATTTAAGCATCTATATACCGTATATACTCTGGACTTCAGTCTGAAACGTCAAGTGCACTAAATTAAAACGGTTCTACATTTACACACACAAAAAAATGGTTCTTCCAGGGTTCTTCAGTAAAGGCAATTGTTCAATATGGGTTCCTTGCATGGTGAAATGGTTCTTCAGATGGATGGAGAATGTGTTGTATATGGTTCTATATAGAGCCTTTTTGAAATTGGTTCTATATAGCACCAAAAAGGGTTCTCTTGTTGCAAGCTTGACATCGTGCTGTATAGAACCATTCTCCATCAATCTAAAGAATGTTTTCACCATGCAAAGAACCATTTAAGCATGAAAATGGTTCTGAATAGAACCATTGCCTTTACTAAAGAACTCTTGAAGAACCATTTTAGGGGGGTAGACCTGGTTCTGAATGCTTAAATTGTTCTTTGCATGGTAAAATGGTTCTTCAGATGGGTGGAGAATGTGTTGAATATGGTTCTATATAGAACCTTTATGAAAATGGTTCTATATAGCACCAGAAAGGGTTCAATTGTTGCAAGCTTGACATCATGAACAATAGCAGAACCATTTTTGGTGCTATATAGAATCATTCTCCATCAATGTGAAGAACCTTTTCACCATGCAAATGAACTTATGGTTCTAAATACAACCATTGCCTTTACTAAAGAACCCTTGAAGAACCATTTTAAGGGTGTAGACTTAGTTCTGAATGATGGATAATATGTTTATGGTTCTGTATAGCACAAAAAAGGGTTCTATTGTTGCAAACTAGACATCATAAACAATAGCAGAACACTTTGTGGTGCTATATAGAACCATTCTCCATCCATCTGAAGAACCATTTAAGCATGGAAATGTTCTATATAGAACTCATGGTTCTGACCAGAACCTTTACCTTTACTAAAACCCTTGAAGAACATCATAAAAAATAGCAGAACCCTTTTTGGTGGTATATAGAACCGTTCTCTATGGATCTGGAGAACCTTTTCACTGAGCTGTAGTTCAGCTCTGTCACAGAAGGGAAAATAAAACACTGAGCGTGTGGCGCGCACATGTGCAGTGCGTATCGCGTCATCGTGACGTCATCACGCTGGGAGTTGCGCCTCCGCCATGTTGTAGGGAATCTGTAAGTGGCTCCGGGCGCGTCCCAATGCGCGCACTTGGGCCCTAACCTGAACGTTTGTCCACTGCGCAGAATTCTGGGCGCTCCAGAGGTTCAATACTGTGTTTATAAGAGTCGAATGCAGTCAGCTGCTCCGTGTTGGCTGTATGGAAATGGGTCAAACTGTCAGTGTTGATATTCCAAACCGAAATGAAATGGCTAATTTAGTAAATAAATAGGACTGTAAAAGCCATCCCAGAGACCAGCATGGCTGGACACCAGCAAAACCAGCATATGTTGTGTTTTGGATGCTGGTATGGCATGACCATGCTGGTTGACCCGCTAAACAAACACCAGACCAGCATGGACTTGTTTTTTTCCCCCCCAGCTGTTTCTTTCAAGGATCTTTGGAAGCTTCTACTTACACGTACGGAGGTCATAAGTACAAAGTCATATGTCTTCAAGTGGTTTTGGTCATAAACAAAATGCACAGCGTTGGGAAAAGGTCTTTTTTGAGGTCAATAAGGGGACATAGTTGTGCTTTACATGAACAAAAGAGCAAAGAATGCATTTTCAGATTTCTCGTGGAGCTCCTATGGTGACATAGTGATTATTTTTAATAAGGTGTGGCCATGAATTTATGTATTGAAGCCACAAATTACTATAATTCCCAAATAACAAACATATATTGTTCCACAGACTTGATTAGGCGTACTAACTGTATGCTTTCCTGCATACAAAACCTAACTAGTTTTCAATCTCATCAGACAGATTTTAAATGCACATTAAATGCAACCATTTTGGAAAAAACTCAAACTATAAAATGACTTCATTGAAAATATTGTTGCTGACTCAGTACTAAATTGGTTACAGCTGTAGAACCGGCTTTGTTTATGGTATTACTGTTAAAATTACTTACTAAACTAATTTACACAGGATAACAAATGAAAGAAATGAAGGACAGATTAGTAAATTGGACTGTGAGTGGAAAAAGAGCAATTAGACTTGCGATTTTGTCTAATACTCTGCTTAACTACCAGTGGGCCACCTGGAAAATGCAGAGGAGAAAGCCAGTGGTCCAACCGTGGCCTACTGTGATGTTGCTATCGGGGTTGAGGCCACGAGTTGTGAGTATCTTAACTTGTGGCTGCAATATATTAGTTCATGACCTCAGAATAGTAAATTGTGGCCTCAATATGTAAATTCGCGGTCTCACCTTATGAAAAAATCACCATGTCACTTCAGGGGCTCAACAGCATGTAGGCTAATAGCTGCCCCTGACTTGACACAGCCGCATACAAAGCCAAAACAGACAGCTAGCAACCACTTCCAAGTCTGTACTAGTTAGTAACTAAAGAATTACAAACGTTACCCGTAGTTACTTCTGTACTACAACTTCTCTGAGCCTTCATAAACTTGTTGTAAGCAAAAAAATCAGGGGAAAAAACCGATCGAACAGAATTCACCACACAGCCAGAGCACTCTAGTTAGGGCGCCAGCGCGTATTGGGACGCGTCCTTTGAGATTAGCGTTTAATCTGAGAGAGCTGGGAGGGACGGAGTGAGTGAGTGAGTGAGTGAGTGGAAGCCATATGGTTACAGATCATAGAAATCTCTCCCAGACGCGGGACATATGTCCGAGAAAAGCGAGCCGGGGACGAAGAAATGGTCATTTGTCGGGCTGAAGCGGCGAGTCTGGCTGGGCTGACGGCGCAGAGTTTGAGAGAGTGACTGTGAAAAGTGGGAAACCGGATTAGCGCTGGAGAGAAAGGGCAGCGCAGCGGAGCCTAATCATCTTTTTTTGCCCCGCATTTACTGCCCAAAGAAAGCTGAAGGGGGGCGAAAACGCTGCTTTCTGGCGAACTACGAGCCCATGACAGCCCGGAGAGAGCGGGAACCTCTCTGTCTTCTAGTAACATCGTAATTTTACCACATTTTTCTCGTGTTTTTACCTCACGTTCAGTATCGACTAGCTAACGTTACTTCAACAAGCAGGCAAAGCTAGTCGGTGTTTGCTAATTAGGTCTAGCTGTTATTAAGATGCTCCGTCTCATGAATTCGGGACTTTGCCTCTTTGTTGACTGAATTAGCCGTTCTATCTTCTTGTTTCGGGACAGAAATCAGGACTGACCGTCTGAATTTGAGTGGTTTTCGTCCAGACACGGCGGAGGAGCTGCTGGCTACTTTCTGAAGCCAACGGCTCTTGGCAGACCAACGGCCAACGGTCACTTCGGACTATTCTCAGCAACACGGAGAATAATTAGCCTCGTTTTCCTAAATCTTCCTCTTGCTGACAGAATTTCACGAAGATGTCGGCCAAAGAACCGAAAGAAAAACAGTCGACCACTGAACGTATCGTTAAATGTAAGTTTTACTTGGGGAACTCTTAAAAAAAGAAGTGGTTCTTCAAGGGGTTCTTCATTGAAGGCAACTCAAAGAACACGTTTGGGGGGATATAAATGGTTCTTTGCATGGTTTAATGGTTTGGTGTGAGGAAGAACCTTCTGGATACCATCAAAAAGAAGTCCATCTTTTGCTAAAAGTGTGTTAAATCGATGCAGCTACTTTGGATAATGCCTTTTTTCATAGATAAAGGCCAACTGTGAAGCTAGTTTAGATTGTACTGCAGTTTTCACCTGAAGCTGTCCAAAACAACATAGTCCTAGTTGTTATAGATCCCATGTTGGTCAGCTGGTCATTAGCCAAACTTCTTAGATTGGAATTCCACTGATTTTTTTTCTCATAATTAATTGCTTAAGGTGTAAATAAAGTCATTTAGACTGGTTTGCTGTGAAATGGCTTATTGTAGAGAATTGTTCACAGTGATGGTGATAGGAACCAGATGTCTCAAGAGTTCAGTGCCTCTTAAAGCTCCCTCACAGGAAGTTATTACATGGAGTGGTTATTAATATGCTGCCTGAATGTATATTTGTCTAATCCATGCAGATATATGCAAGGCAAAGTGGTCCCCAAAGAAAGCTTAACATTGTTTTAGAAGGTTTTGGCCTGAATTTTATGTTTTAAAAACCATTCATGGCATTTTCCCCAAGAAAACTTATTTTTTCAGATTTTCCACTAGTTTACCATCATCAACATTCTGTAAAAACTCAGGAGATATGTGTAGGTCTACTGGTAGTTTTGGGTAGTAAATAAAATGGCTATATTTGCGTGGTGGACATCCCTGGTTCTAATTACCACTGTAAAGAAATCTGAGTTAGTTTCGTATCTTTACAATGAAACATTTCACATTAAACCACTGTGAATAACTTTGTTTACATCTCAGCTGTTTAATTATGCAGATATTTTGAAAAATGAATGTAATTCCCCTGCACTGATTTAATTCTGCTTCTGAAAAGTCTGCTCCACCCAAAGTACAGTGACATTTTTGGAGGTTACTCAGCTTATCTTTCTTCTAGTGTGCATTTCTGAATTGCATATCATCTTGTTTTACATCACAAACATCTGTTACATTTATACCAATAAGGACCTACATATTGTTCCCTCTTTACTCCCACTATTACATTGTTATGTGTTGGTGTGTCGAATGTTGTGTCTTGCAGTCTTGAGGAAGACTATTTCTGAAGCGGCCACTGTGTCACAGTCACAGCATGTCATGCTTGCAGAAGTTGGCAGTAGCCTGAAATGTTGTCCCTGGGTTTGTTTGGTCTGGGGCTCCGGTGTGAGTGGCTCTTGACTCAGAATCAGCAGAGAGAAAATGGGGGATGTTTACTGGTTCTGCTACCTCAGGAGCAATTGTGCTGAGGCGCTGTACAGGGAAGGAGACAAACAGTGTTAAAATACACAGCCTTAACATCTTGTGTGTATTTTACCTGAACCTCAGCTGCCGTGCACCAGCCATGTTGGCCTGTTTGACGTCTGACAGAATGTCTGCTGCTGGTAAAGAGAAATTACTCTGTTTTCCAAGATTTCTGCATGATTAAATGGTTAAGATGTAAACAAAGTCAATCAGGGTGGTTTGATGCAAAGTACGCCATTCGAGCGAACCTTACTGAGTCAGAATTGTTCGCAGTGGTGGTGATAGGAACCAGACGTTTGAAGAGTTCCTCACAGAAAGTACATTATTACAGTGGTTATGAATGCACTGCCTGATGGCTGAGACATAGTTTTAGGATAGTTTTGGTTTGGTTTTGTTTTAGCCTAAAGGATATTTTTAAAAAATCTGTTTATGGTGGGGAGATACATGCAAATGAAATTAGCACCCAAAGAAAAACTTCTTTTTCAACATTTATCACTATTTTATCATCATCAATGTTATTTATAAAAACTCAGCAGATCCATGTAGGTTTAGTGGTAATTATGGATATATTTTCATTGTGTACATCATGACCCCGGTTTTGCCACCACTTTAAAGTTGGTGAGTTTCACTACAATAAGCTGTTTTCCACAAAACCACTCTGAGTGGTGTGGTTTACATCTCAACAATTGAGTGTGTGAAAATTTAGTGGAATTTTCTCTTATATCTTAAATCGGCAAGTATCTTGGCGTAGTTGATTAAACTTATCTGAAGTGTAAACAAGCATTTTGCTTCTTTAAAACAGGGCTAAATGCTTTGTGTCAGGCCTTTTTTGATATCCCCCAAACGAAGATCCACAAAACACTGACCAACAGCTTCTTTGGTTGACAACATTGAGGAAAATTAGCCACTTAAACGGGGCAAAGCAGCGATTTTCAGGCTGTTATCTTAATCAAGTAATCAATATAATCAAGTTTTTTTTACTTTCACAATGTAAGAACATTTTGTTCACAATGGTACCAGCAATATAAATGTACCATCACAGGTACAAGAGTGGACTAATCGTGCATCTTAAGTGAGTTTTAAACGTAGACACTTTGCCCAGAAAAGGTGCATATTTGTACCTTTTCACAATGTAATGTTTTACATTAGAAAAATAAAATAAGAGCCTGGAGTCAAGACAGGCTGTATGGAGTCAATACAACTTAAAGACAATTGCAACAGAATATCGGGTGATTGTGTTGCTCTGTCTAAAGGTATTGAAGAAGTATCTGAATAAGAGTGTATAAAAGAGACCGGTATGTCTACCTGAGTGAGATTTAAGTGCCATACCCCACGCAAAGCTTTCTATAAGGCAGGACAGATAGTGGGGATGGGACTGGTTCCCTTTCTCCGCTTGTAGTGGTCCCATGTGGTGGATACCAGCTCTGATTCACCAGGACAGTCAGACCTCATTAATGCTGGCAGCCTGCGATGCAGAACGGCTTGAATCCAGCCCAGTACCCCAAGAGACACATTCTTCAGGCTCCTCTGACTTTCTGGATGATTTCACCCCCATCTTTTTAAAGTGTTTATTTTTTGAGAATGAGGGGCAAGTAATTAAATGTGCCAGGGAGACAGAGAGAGGTAAGGAAAGGGCGAATCAGGAGGCGAATCATGTCTCGTTCGCGTTCCTGATTTGGAAGAGCCAGGGATGAAGGGTAGCCAAGAGGGAGCCAGCAGCTCAGTTCGGAACAGTGGATACTGCACATGGGAGAGACAGATTCAGATTTATTTAAAAACGGGAGAGAGGAATTTACTGCTGATGCCTCCCATGCCAGGAATCCCCAGCCCTGTGAAGTTGAGGTTCAGCTCAAATGTAACATTCCTGACTCTTAAAAGTTGAGATATCCGTGAAGGCAGTCGTGATTATCTGGATGGGTCAGTCAAGTTTTTTAGCTGCCTCACAGAGTTATATGAACTGGTTATGAATACGTTGTCCGATATCTGAGACTTTGTTTTATGATTTACCATTATGAACATTACTTATAAACACTTAGTAGACATGTAGGTTCACTGGGAATTTCACTAGTTAGGCAGAAATTCTGACAGATTTGGGCAGTTCCTTTTTTTTAATATCCAAGTTGCTGGATGGATCTTTGAGAAAGTTGTGACATTACATTATTCAGTTAAATAACCAATTGTCAACTTAAATAATGGAATATATTTCTATGGTTATTTGAAGCAGCTCATATTTGGCACAGATTGTCAACAATACAATCTTTACCAATCTAGGAAAATGTTTCAGATTGGGTCTAGTTTGATCACAGTGCACTTACTGCTAACAGGCTTTCAGTAAAGGCCAGAGGCCTCCTGAATGAGGTTACAGTCACCCAACCACAGGTATATGCGCTCATAATAGACCACAGTTAAATTTGCCTTTCAAATCACCAGGGTTTAGGTTTCAAACTGGAAATGCAGAACAGGATCTGTATAGTGTACATAAAATCTGTAAGCAGACAAGGAAAACCACTGTTAATGCGTTACAAACTGGCTTTATAATGTTTTGAACTGAGCTTGTGGTAGTTATAGTGCCATAGTGCTTTTGAGAACTTTTTTCATGTGAAGGTCTTTGTCAATCAGGGAGTTCCTGACCTGGATGTCCTCCTGCTATGTGTCAGTCTGATAGCAAGCCCTCAGTCTGACTTGAACTGAAAAGTATTACCAGCTACTCTCTTTTTTTTATCCCGCATTTGGGCAGAATCATGCTCAACCGGATGTGGTGACAGCAGCAGCAACGATTGCATGGCTTTTCCCGTCTGCCTTGGCCTAGGTCTCTTCTTATGAAATTCAGGGTCGGGATCTTGTTTGGAGTGGTGCGAGGCCCTTAAATAAACAGTCTCTGGTCCTGGAATCCCTGGCTAATAGAGGCTTTGCCTAATCTCTTCTTAGAGCTCGTACCCAGCTTACCGTCCCTTTTCCCAGCCTGCCTCTTGGACCCAGGAGTACTTACCGTTTATTTTTACCGTCACAGTTGTCGGAGCATGGTTGCTTGTCCTTATGGCAGGGTAATGAAGTTGAGGAGGTGTATAATAGATGACCCTTTCTTATCCCGGGTTGGGGACAGTCTCCCACTCCCTTGTGAATAGACTGGCCATAGATGTGCAGCCTCATTGGCTTCTGTATGTAAGATGAAAATAGAACTCCACACAGTGACTTCATGAGGATCATCCCCATGCACCCGTGCCCTCAGAACTGTACTTGGATAACTTACTAAGCTGTTGGTTTGTGGGGAACTCAAGACTAAGCAAGTGGACATCCATACGTTCTGTTCAAGGATTTGGGTTGTTGTGACTGTGGGTCAGATGTTGACGTTGGCATTTCATCATCATTCTTGAATTGCAAGTTCATCATCGTCACACCTGCTGAGTGTCCACAAGTCTTGGGGCTTGTCTTACCATTCGTACAATCATTATAAGCTATGATTGCTTCAAAGATGTTCACAGTAGGAAAAATTGGCTCGTAATTATAGGCCTTCCGAACAGAACATCACCATTAACTACACACATGCATACTTTGAACGCCACTTGGAAAGATTACAACATAGATTTTCAGTCTGGCAAAGAATGCT